AGGCTTTACTAACATGAAATTGACAGATTACTTACCGTGTTAAACATGATTTTGTGTAGAAATTTTTACCACTGGATAAGAAGCTCAAGTTCAATTATTAATATTTTAAAAAAACAGAAAACTAAATGAAAGAAAAAAGCAAAAGAAGCAAAACAACTACTAATTCCAAGAAATGAAACCACGTTGTGGAGGTAAATAAAGTTAACTGTGGTTGAACTGTAAAGCACTTTTACCCAGTCATAATGTAAACACTAAATACTGATCTAACCAAAATTATAACACAAGTGTATTGAAAGAATGTGTGATAAGGAAGCTTATAGCATGTGTAGGCAGTAGGGGTGAAGAGGTATTAAAAAAAGAGCTAATCTTTCATATAATGAGTTAATTGATAATACCTAAAACTGAAAAATCAAACAGTAGAAGTATATGCATGTTCTTTACAGATATGTAGGCAAATTCAAAGTATAGCTGGTAGACCAGTTCAGATTCTTGACTTTGCTGAATGAATGAATTTGAGAGTGAGTACATGGTAAAAATAGGCAAGAGAATGTGTGTGTGTGTGTGTGTGTGTGTGTTTTAACTTTTATTGTAGGTTCAGGGGTATATGTACAGGCTTGTTACATAGGTAAACTTGTGTCATGGGGGTTTATTGTACAGATAATCTCATCACCTAGGTATTAAACCTAGTACCCATTAGTTATTTTTCCCAATCCTCACCCTCCTCCCACCTTGCACCCTCTGATACTATGCAGGTAAGAGAATTTATTGCAAAGCGAAAGTACGCTCTGACAGCTGATAGGAACTGGCTGCTCAAAGGTGAGACAGCACAGACTGACATGGGAAAACTCCCTTTATGGGAGTCTTGTATGATTATTCATAAAGAGGTTGGAAGGAATGCTGCCATTAAGCATGTTATAGGTGGTTTTCTGGCGTGCATGCGCTGTGGTTGTAGCCGCTAGTACACATACATGTGCTGTGGCTGTACACGCTAGTACATTTAAGATGCATGTCTCATTAGCATCTTAAATCTCCACCCAGGGGTGTGCTTTTTACTATTATAATAAGCATAAGTCAGGCCAAGAACACTAATCATGGGTTTCTGTGATTGCACACATTTGGGCATTTTCCCTTTTGCTCTTCTGCCTCTTTGCTGGAGGATGTTCTAAGCACCAGCCCAGGATGTGATTGGTACACTGTCAGGGGGTTTGTTCTCCACATCTATTTAGCAAGTTTGTTCTCCTTTCAGGGAGGCTGTGACCACCCTACCTAACCTACCTCAAAAGAACATCAGCTACAAGTGTTGAAATTTGCTGCCTTTGGGAATGAGAAAAGAGAACACCAGAATCACCAGAATCCCATCCCCACCTTATTTTTTTTTAGATGGAGTCTTGCTCTGTCACCCAGGCTAGAGTGCAGTGGCATGATCTCAGCTCACTTCAACCTCCACCTCCCAGATTCAAGCTATTCTCCTGCCTCAGCCTCCTGAGTAGCTGGGATTACAGGTGCCTGCCACCGCGCCCAACCAATTTTTGTATTTTTAGTAGAGATGGGGTTTCACCATCTTGATCCGTCTGATCTCGAACTCCTGATCTTGTGATCCACCCACCTTGGCCTCCCAAAGTGCTGGGATTACAGTCATGAGCCACTATGCCCAGCCCAGAATGTTGTTTTTTGTAACAAGCTTCATAGAAAGAACTACATCAATTTTTGAACGACACGCATGTATAATTTTGATATGAGGAAGAACTGATTTAAATAAAAATCCATGTTCAAAGGCAAGGATCAGCATTTGGAAGGTGATATGAGGTAGTTAAGAAGAAAATAGACAAAATATTTTCTCTTCCAAAGTGTTTCCCTACTTTGTATTTTTCTAAGTCAAAACTACATTTTCAAACCTGTGGCTTGTTTGCTAAATTTCTGCCCTTTCACTTGATCTCAAGTCTTAATGTTAAGCTCCTAAAAGTTTTCCACCTTAATTATCTCAGACGAGAGATAATGAAATGTGTATAATGAAAAACCACAACCCCAAACAAAAAGCAAAAGCAAACAAACAGAAAAATTCACAATTCAGACTGAAAATGCAGCATCTATTAGTCTCCGGAGACTCTTTATTAAAACAAGGGATCTTGGAACCTGAGCGGATATGGAAATCCAGACACCTGCTGCTCCCATCTTTCTTTTGGATGTATTTTTCTTTTTGCTTCCAGTGTTGTTAACAGCAGTGACCAGCAAGGTGGTGCATCTTTCCTGACCAGATATTCACTCCACAGCTGGGTTGCATACTGAGTGCCAAATTAAAAATCAGTATTCCTGAAATTAATTCTAACTATTGGGAGGAGGGTGCCCTCCAGAGCCTGCACATGAGCATGTGTGTGGATGTGTGTGTGAGCTTACTTGAAGGCAACTGACGGGGTTTGCATCAAACCTTTGTGTGTCTGTGCCTGTATCAACCCTTTTATAAAACAGCTACCTGAAAAGAAAGATGATCACTCAGATAAGCTATATTTTAAATAAGTCCATCCACAAATGGACTGAATGCACATATGAACATGCACACACACAACACACCCCCAGAGCACCAAATTCAGAGAATTAAAAAAAACCCTCATGTCTTCTTTTAGTAAGCCACAACCTCAAAAATTGACTTATAATAGGGTTCTATGGATGTGATTTGCACACTGTTAGGTGGTATAATCATTTTCTTGCAGAAGACCTTGCTTCCCTTCAAAAAGACATAATTAAAAAGACTGGAAGCGAGATCCTTTCTCAACTACTCTTATGAAAGTCTGTGGACTAGAATGCAAATCTCAATTATGATCTCTCTTATGAAAGTGACTCTATCTGAAAAATATGTCCTATTACCACTCTTTAATTTCTGGCACTCAGAGACATTCTCTGAGAAAACATCTAACATGGAACTCTGCAATTAGAATCACAGAAACATGGGTTTATGATTTTAAAGTTTGTAGAAAGCTTTGGGATAATTAAAAACCCAGAGGATCATATTGAAGAGATGGTGGAGGCTCACGAAGGCAGGTTCCCACAGGCAGTTAGTAACATAGTAGAAGCAGCCTGTTGGTCCACTCACACAGCTGATCCTGGAACAAACTGTTCAGAACCAGAGGCCCTTTACTGAAAGTGGGAGGCAATGCCAGAAAGTAAAATGACCTCCTGTTTTCAGACAGCAAACTTTGTTTCTTTTTTTTTTGTTTGTTTTTGAGACGGAGTCTCGCGCTGTCGCCCAGGCTGGAGTGCAGTGGCCGGATCTCAGCTCACTGCAAGCTCCGCCTCCCGGGTTCACGCCATTCTCCGGCCTCAGCCGCCCGAGTAGCTGGGACTACAGGCGCTGCCACCTCGCCCGGCTATTTTTTGTATTTCTTAGTAGAGACGGGGTTTCACTGTGTTAGCCAGGATGGTCTCGATCTCCTGACCTCGTGATCCGCCCGTCTCGGCCTCCCAAAGTGCTGGGATTAGAGGCTTGAGCCACCGCGCCCGGCCAGCAAACTTTGTTTCTACTTGGAGTATAGAATATTGTCTTCTGTATCAAGGTAAAATTCTATAAGCGAAGAGGGCATTAGGTATAGAAAGCAATCTGCCAACTTTGCCCAATCCAAGATTATGCTCATAGATGCACTATTTTGAAAAATATTAATTGCAACATATTTATTGAGTATTCCATGATGTTAGAGAGGAGAAAGATGAGGGGGAAATTTAAACGCACATCTGAGTTGAATCAGGGATCCCCTAACACCCTTCTGTCCAAGAACCTCTTCAGGTGGGCTCTGTACTTTTCTTAGGTAAGTTTCCACAAGCATACACTGAAGAAATGAGAAGGAGGCTTATCCCCAGAGAGCATTTCTCTAGCTTTTAAGTCATTTCTGTCAATAGTTTCACCTTTTTCTCTCACTCATCTTCTCTAATGCAATATAACGTAGATTTGGGAATTTGAATGCACAAATATCTTTACAACTGAGCAAAATAATCTTGGAACACAGACTATGTCCTGGGTAGGGAGGATGCAGGTGCACATTTTAACATTAATCCTTTAAACCCATGTGAATGTAATCAACCAAACAATCTCTTTCAATTCTTTCCCATTTGACTCCACTTTGGAATCTCATTTTTTATCTCATAATCCTTTATTTGCAAATACTATGTTCACTTCTGAGTAACCTAAATAATTACAGCACATATATTCCCAGAAAGCATAGACTGTGGCTGAACTGAGGAAAATCAGGTGGATGCAGGGAGAGGCTATCTTCACTGATTTTCTGGGGGCTGAAACTAGTTTCATGTGCCAGTATCCAGTGCTATTTAAAAGAACATAATGGAGAGAGGATAATCTCAAACCCACACACCCAGAAACCAAATTCCAGAAAACCAGGCTGCAATGAGATGAGAAAACAACAACAACAACAACAACAACAACAAACAACAACAAACACCCTGACAGATTTGCTTCTCTTTCATGCTGGTTAATTTCCCTGGGCAACCACTGGCCAGCAGCATAGACTCCAGGTATATTCCCTATGCTTCTCTCACCTTGTCATTCAAAGGGAAGCCTACGCACCACTGCCAGTGCTTGTCACTTCACTTATCGAGGTACATGCTATGGGCAAAGAGGTTATTCAGTATAGAAAGCAATCTTCAAACTTTGCCCCTAAAGAGAACCAAGATAATGCCCACCTCTTTTTCCACTGGAAACTCTCACTCTCTCTTTCAATCTGGTTCTAGCCTGTGGTCTGATGTTACTCTTCCACTTTATGCAAAAGACATGCTTTCTGCCAGGCACTAAGCCCAGTGACTTTTGAACTTTGCACATCATGATCATCTGAAATAGGCTTACCTGTCCTGGACACAGGTATTTTTCTCTCCCTTTTTTGAGCTTCCAATCAAGGATAGTCATTCTGCAAAGAGATTAGACACACACATGCACATGTACAGCTCCTAGAAGGGGACTCTGCACCCTTCATCTTTAACAGATAAAATCTATTTATTACCTTTCCCCTTAGGAAAGGCATTCTGTCTTCTGGCTTCCCATCATTGACCACAGCTTCCAACAGTCACTATGGGATTGCAGTTACATGTCCTCCACACCAGTTAATTATTTCTCTAAAAATAGTATAATCATTAACATCTTTCCAATCTAATTACAGTTCAATTCCTAGGTAATCTATTACACTGGACATACACTCAAATTCAACATGATTTCAAAGGTAGATTCCTGTCACAGTTCCCATCTCAGCATTCTTTTCATCTAATATTCTTCAACATGACAAGTGACATTTTTCATTCATATGTATTTCAGATATCTTAGCAATGCTATGGAAATAGATAAGCAGAGAAACAAAAGCCTGTGCTTCCTTCCCTGCTGAATGACTACCCTTAGGATAAATATTCTTAACCTATGTTTTGACCACTAACCTCTCTGCTTCCTTGAATGGTTAATAACAGAGGAGGGTAGGCATGGAGCTTCTAATAAATCAGAAATGGGTTTTATTTAAAACTCCAATCCATGCCTTTGCATTTTGGGGTCTGCTGAATAAAAATAGGAAGCCTAATTTGCACATTCTTTCAATGGTTTCCCTCTGCTATCTCCACTCTTCCTTGGCATTCTGCTGAATATGCACCTCAGAAAGAATTCAAGGCTTCCTTGGCATGATTTTGATGAATAGGAACCTATGAGGCTTAATAAGAGGCACCAAAATGGACAGACACCTAAGGGAAAAAACAAGTCTGTGTTGATGGATGTGTTTCCCTGGGGAGTTGGGGCACTGCTGAGATGCAGTTTTTCCAGCAAGTGGTAAAACGGAAAGATAATTCAAGGCAACACATGCAACACAGGGTGCGCAATGTATTTTCTTGGCAGCAACGAATGTGCAGAAAAAATCAGATAAGTTGCTGCTTCACAGGTTGCCAGAGGGATACACAGCAAAGAAATGTGCCCAGAAAGGATGGCATGGAATAAAGATGTGAATATTACGCTGGTCCAGCCAAGTGGCGGCCCACGGTAGCCTTTATCTACTCATTCATTATTGACCTGAACTCCTACCAGAATATTCACTTTTGGTGTTCCCATTTAAAATTAAGAACAAATAAACAACAGCAACAACCAAACACCCCCTCCCCACCCAGACTCCAAGGGTTTCTAAGCTTCATGTTCTGAGGAAACAAAAGTGGCAAGATATTATAACAGTAATTTGCTAGTAAAATTGTATGAGATCACTCAGGAAAAACACCTTCACTTACACAGGATCAGCTTGGTTAACAGGGTGGGGCTGTCGCTGCTGTTTCTTGCAGACATATCCACTCAGCTTTTCCCCACATGGACCTGTTTTCCTAACACTTTTTTCAAGATAGAAACTCTTAAAATTTGTTTAGAAGGGATGTTTAGCTTATCTTCTAGCCCATCATACCTCATTCTGCTAATTTCCTTTATCTTTTTTTCTCTCTGATGACTACTGGAAACTTGCTAAGGGAATCTGTGGTTGAGCTGAATGGGTTATGTATGAAGCATGTCTTTTCATTCTGATGCTTTGACTCTGGAATGTTCCTGGCCCTAGAGAGGCTGCCTTTCCCAGAGTCAGCCAATTCTTACAGATGGTAAATGACTCACCTGCCTTTCATATGAAAACCAACAAATCCAAAGTCCATACCTTCAACTACCTCCTCTACCAAGCTCTTACACTCAGGGCCATTACTTCCCTTCCCTAATTACCCAAGGGCCATGTGTCAGAAAACAAGGGACAGCCATATGCCCTAGAGCTCACTAAAATTATCAAGCTAACCAATCCCAAACCTGCTTACTCCACCATAACCATTTATTTCCAAGGAAACCATAAATATACCCAAAGGATTATACTCCCACAATTATAAATCATTCTGCTATAAAGACACATGCACACATATGTTTATTGCAGCACTATTTACAATTGCAAAGACTTGGAACCGAAATACCCATCAGTGATAGACTGGGTAAAGAATATGTGGCACCTACACACTATGGAATATTACACAGTCATAAAAAGAATGGGTTCACATCCTTTGCAGGGACATGGATGAAGCTGGAAGCCATCATTCTCAGCAAACTAACACAAGAACAGAAAACCAAACACTGCATGTTCTCACTCACAAGTAGGAGTTGGACAATGAGAACACATGGACACAGGGAGGGGAACATCACACACTGGGGCCTGTCAAAGGTGGGGGGCAAGGGGAGGGAGAGCATTAGGACAAATACCTAATGCATGTGGGGCTTAAAACCTAGAATACAGCTTGATAGGTGCAGCAAACCACCATGGCACATATATACCTATGCAACAAACCTGCACATTCTGCCCATGTATCCTAGAACTTAAAGTAAAAATTAAAAAAAAAAAAAGCCTCCACTGCACTCCACTGTAAAAAAATAAAAGAAGGAAGGAAGGAAGGAAAGAAGGAAGGAAGGAAGGAAAGAAGGAAGGAAGGAAGGAAGGAAGGGAAAGAAAGAAAGAGAAAGAAAGAAAAAGAAAGAAAGAAAGATAGAAAGAAAGAGAAAGAAAGACAGACAGAAAGAGAGAGAGAGAGAAAGAAGAGAGAGAGAGAAAGAAAGAAAGAAAGAAGAAAGAAAGAAAGAAAGAAAGAAAGAAAGAAAGAAAGGAAAGAAAGAAAGAAAGAAAGAAAGAAAGAAAGAAAGAAAGAAAGAAAGAAAGAAAGAAAGAAAGAAAGAAAGAAAGACTCTAGTCCATGTTCTCCTATCATATTCCTTCTGCCTCCTGACCGAAACTGGTGCTTCTCCATGCGACCCTATATATGTGGCTTACCCACTCCTGTTGAGAACTGTGAGTAATAAACTATGTCTTCAATGGCAATTGTCTCCTGATCTTTAGGCCTTAACATTTCTGAATAAGAATAAACACTTTGAAACAGGTTATTGTAAAGTTTCTTTAATTTCATGTTTGGCATAAGTGGTAGTGGAAATCAGGAGGATTTTTGTTAGTTATAGATAGCCTTCCCCACCTCCCTACCTATAAAATGACCTCTTCTAATAAAACTCCCTTATCAAAACTTTGACTGCTGCAAGAACAAAATTACATCTTTGTAGAATCCTCTGAAGAAATAACACACCAGTGACCTCCAAATTTTCTTCCTCTTAGTCTGCAATCCTATCAATACGAAAGAAAAAATAATAATCAGAGGATGGGGGGAGGATATATACAAGAGGAAATGTCACTTTGGAAAGCTGACTTGGACTATGTTAGAGGCAATAGTATCATACATGAAAGTCACTGTAAGTACCCCTGTAACCACATTATCCTATGGAGGAAAATTCTTCATAATCACCATGTGTTATTCATGATAAACAAAGAATATGCTACCTACAGTTTTATTTTTATTCACCTCCCCACTCAACTCCCTGAGAACAGAATCTACATTCTTAAATTGGAAGTTGTTCCATTACCATAGAAACCAGAGGTTTGGTAGGTGTGCATACATGGGTGGTAAATTTCAATCTCTGTAACAGAAGGTAATATATATTGATAGAGTCATTATCTCTAAAGGAGAGTGCTACTTTATGTTATAAACAACGCTAAAATGGAATCTTGAATATATTTTTAATCTACTACTGTTACTTATTGAGTACTTATTTAAGCAAGACATTCTGGTTTCTGTGGATTCAAACTGAAAGCAAATACGGTCCCTATGCCCAAAGAATTCCCAGTTCCTGAAGTCCATGCACATACGCTGTCACCTCACTGTTATGGGTATAGTCACCCTCTGAGGGAAAATGTTCTGTGAGCCTACAGAGAACGACAGATCAGTGCTAAGGGTCTGCAGGAAATGATTCAGAAAATATTTCAAAGGGATGGAATCTTAAACAATTCTAAAAGAGTAGCTCTTGTAGACTAAATATTGTCCCCCAAAAATTCATACATGGAAGCCCTAATCCACAATGTGACTATGTTTGGAGATAGGGCCTTTAAGAAGGTAATTAAGGTTAAACGAGGTCATGAGGATGGGGTTCTAATTCAACAGGACTGATGTTCTAACAAAAAGAGGACGAGACATCAGGAGTACATGCATACAGAGAAAAGACCATGTGGGGACACAATGAGAAGGCAGCCAACTGCAAACCAAGAAGAGACCTCACGAGATACCAGTGTTGTCAGCACCTTGATATTGGACTTCCCAGACTCCAGAACTGTGAGAAAAACATGTCTGTTATTTAAGCCACACAATCTGGCATTTTGTTATGGCAGTGCAAGTAGTCTAATAGAGAAACTGATAGGCAAAGATAGAAATGCATGATTAGAGAACTTGAAGGGAAGATCTTGGAGAAAGGACAGCATTTTAAAAGCTGGTCATTAACATCAAAGTGCCTGTTAATTCAGGGTCTGTTGAAAAGTCAGTGTGAGGTAGGAGCCTTGGGAAACTGGAGAAAACTTGGAAAGGAAAAAAAGTACTGAAATGTTTTGGAAAGAGCATTGAATGCTAAAGTTAGCAATATCTAACTAATTGTGTTTGCAGTAAGAAACGAGCAGAAATATTAAATAGAAGAGTGGCATGATTACATTTTAATAGGTTCTTTTACAGAGTGTGGGAAGGATATCACATGCAGCAAAGTGGAATGAAATATTAAGGGGAATAAGAGGTTGGAGATATGTACAACAAATCAGGTAAGAATTGATGAAGGGGCAAATGAAGCTGTAGGAATGAGGGGGAGAGTCAAAGTTGCACTTACTTCTAGACTTTGAATTTGGGCATGTTTTCACTGAGAATCATATGTCACTCTAATTCTTCCTTTGGAGGTAACTTATCTTTATCTTCTGATTGCTTTTAAGATTATATCTTTGACTTAGTGTATAGGCTATCATGATATCTAGGTATAGGTTTCTTATTTCTACTTTTTATGATTTTTTTAAGCTCTCAATCTAAGATTAAATTTTTTAATTAATTCTTAAATATTAAATATTTTTAATAGTGGGAGAGCTGTTAAATAAATCTACTATGCTATCAGGTATAAAACTGAATAAAACACAGTACATAAGCATTTTATGAGGTTA